GGGGGGGGGGGGTAGGCTTTTCCTTGCCCGGCCCTGCTTTGTACCTGTTTTGCTATAATAGGAACCAATTTTCTTGCTTTCGGGTTTTTCTTGTTTTATATGCACATTTGGTGCCAAGCAGACGTTTGTTTTCTTACCTTTAAGAGGTACTCGATAGAGGTCACGGCCATTTTGAGCTTGAAGACAACAACCATAGGTATAATTTAACGTAAAGCTTTTGTGTGGCAGGTTCGACTTGTAAGATTGTGACACTCCTCCAACAAGGGGGTTTATGGGCAAGAATTTCATGCGAACTACATGCGAAAAAGTCCGAATGATGGCAGTGACTCAATAAAAACATGAGCATTACTCCGCACGGTTTAGGGTCAGGGTAAATTTGTACCCAAAGCTAGCCCCAATGAGGACGCCCCGCGCAAGAGTAGATTTGGTTCCGACTCAGAGTTGAGGTGGTCGCTGGAAGCAACGGCAATAATCATCCCAGCGTGTGATTTCTTATTCAATATAACCATCCGAAGCATAATGCCCAAAAAATTGCCACCCAGCGCTGAGCACTTTCGCTCAACCATGCAGCCGCCGTCCTACGTCGGTGGAAATGAACGATGTAAGAAACGGCCTGATTGGAAATAATTTAGGTGGGATAGTCCACTTCAGCACTCTGAGGAGCACCCACAAAGTAAATATGTTTCGTCACGAACGGCATCCAAGTGGAGTTATTAGCAGACTTGAGGCAGCACATGTAGCGTGTGATAAATTACAAACTTCCGCCAGACATATGCCAAAAAAATCGTCTCGAACCCAAGCGACCTCCCCCAGGTGGTGCTTCCTGGTGAGACGCATGCGCCCTCGTTGCCGTTGCGCTTCGTTTCATTGCTGTGACCGTTATGTTATATTGTTCGCGCCGTCGTACGTTCTTCGCTCCCTCGAATCTCACTTGTTCGTTTCCACGGTGGTAGGGATATCACGGCAGCCCTAGCCGGGAACACTATGGACACGGCCAACATCATCGAGAGTCGCACTCGACGAAGAAAAAGCGTGGACTACGTAAAACTCAATCAAACCGTGTTCGGGTGAGTCTCCATATGTGCCATATTTCCATGTTGTACCGCCGAGAGAGGGCTCCCAGCCCTTTGTGCCGTGCAAAGTGTAGACCTCATGACACGTGTAGTTTCTTGCAGCCGAGGCTTCTAGACGTTCTCCCGCACCTAGGCTGATCATCGGTTTCGCTTTGCGTTGCACTGAACCACCCTTTTCCGATCCAGAGACGAGTCGGTAGACGGAGACCACGTATCCTCAGACGAACAGGACGAATCACCCGAACCTTCTGAGGGTGAAGCGTCCGACGAATCCAGCGGCGCGTCAAGAAAAAAAAAGAAACCAAAGGGCAAGAGCACCCCGTCGATAGATCCATCCACCGGGCTGCCACGGAAACGAGGCCGGCCCAGAAAAATAGAGGCAGGAACATCAGGGGCGGCTGGGACGACTACCGGAGGCGGATTGTCCAGGCTAGGTCTCATCGATGGGACCTGGCACTCCTGCGACGGGCGGGGGCTGCAGTCCGAGGCTTCGTCGACAGTGGCGCGCGCTTCGAGCATACAGAAATCGCAAAAGATGCCATCCATAGACCCAGCTACCGGACAGCCTCGAAAAAGAGGTCGGCCACGAAAGTTGGTAGAGAACGGTGCGGCAGAAGGAGGTGGCGCCGGACCCCGCAGGAGAGGCCGCCCGAGAAAATCCGAAAACGGCGCGATGACGCGCAACCTAGGTGCCCGGAGCGGCGTCGAAGCAAGGGCACCGGGCAATCCCTCCAAGACAGCGCCCAGCTTGTACTCTCCGCAGAAAGACTCCAAGAACGATGCTGGAAACGTTTGCCAGACGAAACAGGGCAAAGGGCGAGGCCGTCCTCGCAAGGGTGCCATCGCAGTCCGAAAAGAGACGAGGGCAAAGGAGGTAGGTCTTGGCTTCCCCGCAATTGCGTACGAAGACATGGAAGATGATGATACCGCCGCTGTAGCGGCCATGGCAGCTGAAGTAGCGGCGAAGGCAAAACGAGCATCCACCGAGACGTGTGCAGCAAGTCCTGTCCAGCGCGGCCCCGGAAACCCCTCCTAGGACTCAAACCCGTGCTCTACAACCGGCGGGGGTAGCGGAGATGTTTCTTTAGAATGGAATGGTCTCGCGTGAGTGTCTTTGTCGACAGTTCGTAGATGGATTGGGACTACATGCAGCAGTGATTCGTAATGAAGCTAGTAGTGCTAATAGTGGTCGAGTGAGACCAGCCCTCGGTGGGACATGGAGTTGGGTTGGGNTGCATCCTGCTAAGGGTTTTCGGCATCTTGTGCTTACTTCCTCGCGTACGGATGACAGTTGGGTTGGAGGGGGGGCAAGTGCAGTCATCGGGTATCTTGTGAATATTTTGGCTTTCACCTAAATAAACGGTCGCCCCGGTGGTCTAGTGGTTGGCGTCCTCGCAAACCGCTAATCGCAGAGGTCGTGAGTTCGAATTCCATGGGCTGACAAATTTGCAAACTTTGAGGGTGAAAGCGAGATACAGCTGAAAAGCTCTCGTGAGTACCAAACTTCGACATTAGCACCGTTGACGAGGGAAAGGGACGGTTGGACCCTTCTCGCGATAAAAATAAATATTCAGCACGCACCGCAGGAGGAAGGTGGGGCATGAAAATAATAATATAAACGCATAAAAAAGTCCTGGTGTTTACCCCCTCCTGTGTGACCGAGGATGGTTGTAGTTGTACAAAAAAATACACTGAAAAGTGTAGTACACGTCTCACCACGAAAAATGGGAGGACTGTCGCCATAATAAATAGGACGAAAACACAACACACAACAAACAGCTGATGACCTACACGGTTGATGACGTAAGCCCACCAACGTAAGTATGGATGCTGCTGCCCTGCAGGGTGTGATCTAGATAAATGAACTACGCATCGTCCAAAACGACAGACTCCGGGTAACCAGCTTGTGACCAACTACGGGGGGTTGGTAGCCATCGAAGTTGACGATTGCCTCTTCGGGCAATGTTGCTCTTGAAAGCAGACGTCTCCTCTCCAGTTAAATCGGTTTCCACTAGAAGTATCCCAACCAACAGTCAACCTTGCAGAGCACAGCAGCGTTGATCTGCATGCGCGCGAGGCCACGGGTATGTGTCGAAAATAGACCCGTCTCGGGTGTATGAATAGCAAGCTGTCGGTGCGACTGTGCTGCTGCAGTTTCTGGAAGGGACAGCAGTAAACATGACTACGGCCTTGCCCGGGTAGCAAATAGCATGCAGTTCCTTTGCTATCGTAGCGCGCGCGGGGGGGGGGGGGGGGGGGGGGGGGTGGGAGGGGT